ATTTGCAAATTTTGCAAAGAGCCAATGCTAACAATAAAGACGATGCTGTTTATACTGTTCGTTCAACAAATTCTCATGGATCACACAATAGATTCTGAAAGTGGCTGGCCACTAGTACCAGAAGATACACAGAACTATCTCTCATGTCCAAAACCCTGGATACAAAGTTAGAAACAACGAGAGATCAACAAGGAGTCTGAGAAAGAGAAAATTAGCATAAAAAGCCTCAGTGAGCCTCCATCTCCTCCTTTTCCTCAAGTCACTTCCAGGGTACATCTCCTACAGGCAGACCTGATCTTGGCCTTCTTTTGCCTATATATAGGCCCTTTGCTCTGTGTGTCACCCTGCTTCTTTTGACTGTAGTTCTAGTCCCCACCAGGCTAAGCTGTTGCACAATGTTAGGGCACAACCCTCATAGAGTAGTGAATATGAAGCCCCAAAATTGTGTAGTGCCCAGCCCACAGCCATGTGGCACCACCGCTTCCCCCCATTTGTCTCACTATCCAAATCACATCAAACCTCATGGCTCAGATCATATTCCACTGCCTTGATGTGAAAGATTTCTCTCACCTCGATTTCTCTTACCTAAAAAAGTTTCATCTTTCTACAAAATGGCTTTGGCCCTAAAGTTCACAATGCAAATCTCCTTGAGAGAAGTTCTGGAGGTGAAGAATAAATATAAAGGTCCTGGAACCCACACTGGCTCATCCCCAGAGTGTAAATGACACAGTGGGAGGGACATTGGACTGAAAGAGAATTTGGACCTAGAGCAAAAGTAACTAAATTGCTGCACAAACTTGGCAAGTCACATAACTTGTCTGTCAGTTTCACACATGTAGTACAAAGGAGGTAAATAAGACACCTCAAAGATTCCTGTCAACACCACCTTCAGAGTAAGGGTATTTGAGTCACATACAGCCATTCCACAAAGGGAGAGTAATAGATGGCCTTTGAAGGTCTGGGAGACAGCTCACTAAGTGCTCACATGTGTCAGGCTGAATGGCATATAGGCCTGAGCTGAAGGTAAATTACTTCACGAGGCATATCCCTGCTTCTCCTCTCAATACCAGATCTTTAGACAGGCTTTTTTGTTACCTCTAGTCTGGCAAACCTGGCACAATGCTGTCACGTTTTCACCAGCCCGCTCATGTTTGCTAATGCCACCTGCCTCCCACTCTTAGCTACAACACACACACTCCCTCATGTGACAATGCTACTAAAGGACAGGAGTCTGGTACAAGAACTTATATCTACAGTTTTAAATACAGAAACACTCTCATTTTTAACTAACCTAATATTGCAAAACCTACATTTATAAGTACATACACTTACACATGTATGTATATACATATAAATATATGGGGGATGGATTACGTGCTTTTGAAATGAATTCACCATGGAATTTCTTAAAATATGAGGTCCTTCATTTATCTTTTCCTTCACTGCCTCCGCCACAAATATCTTACACATTTTACTCATATATTGCTACTCAGAAATACATCTATCATGTGAGGTAAAGTATCCTGTATTCATAAGGAATAATGGAAAGCAAAATGTATTTCTTTGTAGCCTCATGGGTAATTTCTTTGATGTCCTGGGTGTATGGGCTTATATGTTCAATACCTAGGCTCTGGAATCGCATCTGGAAATACCATGAACATAAAAGCCACATGAATCTTAAATATCTTCCAGAATCCACCATGATATAACAACAGCCTTCTATAGAAATTAGTATCTGGAGAAGCCACAGACTTCACACAGGCCACCAGGCCTGAAGAGAAGTGCGCTGATAGCATTGTTTTATGAAGATTTCCCAGGCAACCACTGTAGCTTCCACTTGGGCCAATGTTATCAGGTGGGGGCAACTTAAAAAGTTGGAGTAATATATTCTGCTTCCTTACACAATAAATGTCAATAGACAAAACATTAACCACATTTCTGGGAGTGGTGAAGCTATTTTTAGTAATGCTATCATTCTGGAAAGTTTCTTCTTTTGCTATGAAATACAAATGTGATTTTTATCCACATGGTAAGCTCAGTCATGTTTGTTTGTTTTTTTAAAAATTGAGGTTTGTTATGTTTTCTATTTCTCTTTACCCCAGGCGTTTCCTTATCTGTGTGCACATACAGATGAGAACAGGAACAGATCAGACTAGTCCATTCTAGTTTAGGGTAGGTTGCAAATGATCACTCTGATGATAACAGCACCAAACAAAGGCTTCATCTTACACAATCATTAGTATTCCCCTAAGAGGCTAATGCAAGCTAAGTACCTAACAAAAACAGAAAGGAGAACAGCAACTCCACTCTTAAGTCATTTCTTCCCCACCCCACCCCCAAAAAGAAGTTATTGTTTCCCGACTTCCAGAAATATCATTGTGTAGAGCTCAGGAACTCAGAAAAATCCCAGCTCCCTCTGTTGGCTCCCTAAAAACACACACTGAATGGGGAACCCGACACAGGAAGCTACAGGAGGTTGGTGAGAATGGGCAGTGCAAATCAGGAGGCCTAAGATAAGATCTGGACAAACATTTAACTTGTCTGGGCCTCAGTTTCTTCATTATAAAATATAGACAATGTTACCAATATCTTTATTGAGATTGAATGAGATAATAGACTTGAAAAGGCTTTGTGAAAGTATTAGGACTTCACAATATAATCTCTGCTTATTTGTGTGCATCACAACTCCTATGACATTGTAGAAAATGTAAGCTGAAAGTTATGAAAAAATAAGAAAAGTATAAGGCTGGTTTAAAAAAAGCCTTCTTTCTCTCTCTTTCTTTTTCTCCCTCTTTCTTTCCCTCCATCTCTTCCTCTCTCTTTTACTCTACCTTCTGGTTAAAAGTAACACTTGATCTTAACTCCGCCTTCTAATAATCACTACTCTTCTAGTTTTCAACCATAGTCAGAAACTAAATTAGAACAGCTCCTTGATTACATACTACTAAGTACAGGGGTCTGTATTAAATTATTACCAAAATCAAATTATGAAAAAAATTTCTGCTTCTAGAGAAACTTGAAGTTGGAATCAGCATCTATTTATTTCTTGTTATTCAGCAAATATATATTCAGTGCAAACTGGTGCCAGGCACTAGGGATTCAGAAATGAATAAGAAAAACAACACCCTTTTTAGGTGTTTTAAGAAAAAAAAAAGCCCTTTTCCTCATGAAGTTCATAATCCAATGAGGGGGATAGGTTCCTAGTCTCTTATTTTACAGCTTGGGAACTAGAGACACAAAAGTTGAGAAAATGTGACTACCTGCAACTCTCCTTCCATTATACTGAGTAGCTGGATGAGGTCTTCTTTGGATAACTCCAATTTCTTATTCTTTCGTTCATTTTCTCCAGATGGTTTCAGGTGTCGTTTGACAGTTCCTGAGGCCATGTCATCATCCTCCTTTCTATTTGATTTGTTCTTCTTTTTTGCATCTTCTGAGAGACTTTTATCATCAGCATTGCTGATGATGGAGGATTTAGGGCAGGAGATATGCCCGTTGGGTGAATTTTCACCACCCTGGTTTCGGGATCTCATTCCCACCTACAACACAAGAAAAAAGATTAGATGTTTTTACCACCACTGAAATTATTTTTGTCTAACTACTTAAAAACTTACAGCAGCTTTACACCACCACCAATAAAGAAAAACCAAAAGATCAGTCCCAGTTAGTTTCCTGATATCGTCAATAAATACGTCATTAAAATCTTCAGGAAACTGCTTTGATGGTCTTCATGAAAGAGTGAAAATGTGATTCTAACCTTATAAACATCTCAAGTCAAATGATCAAAGTCCACATCAACAGTGCTAAGTCATGTTGATGGTATGTATCTTTGATAAGACGTGATAAGAATGGCACTTTACCATTGTGGTCTTCCTCCCCAAAATATTACCCAAGTCTAATAATGAGAAAAACATCAGAAAATCACAATTGAGAGACACTCTATAAAAATTCGTGACCAGTAATCTTTAAAACTATCAAGGTCATCAAAAACAAGGAAAATCTGAAAAACTGTCACAGCCAAGAGGGGCCTAAGAACACATGACAATTAAATATAATATGGCATCCTAAATGGGATCCTGGAACAAAAAAAGAGACATGAGGAGAGAATTGAGGAAATATGAATGAAATATGGACTTTAGTCAACAACAAGGTATCAATACTGGTTAATTCATTATCATAAATATACCATACTAATCTAAGATGTTAATTATAGAAGAAACTGGGTATGGGTATTTGGGAATCCCCAGTATTATCTTTGCAACATTCTTTGACTCTAAATTTGTTGTAAAATAAAAAGTTTATTTTTAAAACAGTGATTCTAAATTAAGTCTATCAGAAAATTCAAACCTCAAATCCTGCCAGGAATCAGATGGAAGTCACAATGTGCAGAAAAATCCATATGGGGTAGAGGGGGCTTGAAATGAAGAGAGGAAAAGGGAAAAGCAAAGCAAAGAAGGTGGTCTAGTTTTCAGTGATATGGAATTCTATTTTTCCATAGCCTTTTCTTTTCAAAATCAGGTCTTTTTACATCAGTCATTTACAGTACTAAGAGCACAAAGAATTGGTAGAAAATAGATCAGTTTCAAAATTAAAATTTAAAAAAATATATTTTGAAGTAAAATAAAGAAAAAAGACAAAGCAGCAGTTAACTTGTCCCGTGAAGAGCACCTTGGAGTCATCCCATGATTTATGCTTTACAGATTCTCTGTCAGTCTCTGAGTAAAAGAACTTGGTCAACAGGTATGTTACAAACATACCGAACTCATAAGCTAGGACTCAAAGTGCTCTGAAGAGAGCTCTAATATCCTGGCGGCTATCCCACAAAATTTGCCTAAACCCTTAAATATAGTAGCTTAGCGCAGAGTCCTATTTAAAACTCACAGCATAAATAGTCCTTTCCCTGAACAGCTACGCAGCAAGATTTTCATTACTCATTCCAGATAAAATACAGGGACTTTGTTTTCTGAAAGTAAATTTCCTTAATGACTCCAACCATACATAAGAAACTAAGGAAAGCTTTTCAAAACACTAAATTTATAATGGAAAAATACAGTGTGGTGTTTCCTTTCAGATAGCGAACATTCAATTCTTCCAATAAATCTTGAAATCTACATTCATGCTTCTTTTTTGAACTGAACTGTTGTATTGTGTGTATGTGAACTTCCTACAGCAGCACCCTTACTATGAACAGCACAAACAGAAGAGGTGGTCCTTAATATTGGCACCCTGTTTTCTGGTTAGCTTAGTCATTCATTCTTGGAATTTTAGAGCATCTTTCGTGCTTCTCTGGTGAACAAAGAATACATGTTTCTTTGTGATGGAAGCCAGAGCACTTCAGAGCAGACCTACTGTATTTCATCAGTTTGTTTGTGAGCAGAGTAGGCTGACTTGAGCCCCAAGCCAAAAGAAAAGAGGCGATGAATGATGAATAGAAAGTTTCAAATTTTAATCCTGGCCTGTTACACATCACAACTAAGACACATGGACTTCCCAAATTGAATTGTGACTCCCTACAACTCCATACCACATGTGAATTCCTTTTATCTGAAATAACTTTCTCTATCAAATCTTAAGGCTCTTTGGAATGGTACATCAAATAATGATTTGACTACTTCAATTTAGATCCTGCGTTAATAGAAATTCCAGACAATGGTTCCCAAAGCACAGAAGGTAAGGGGTGATGTTTTAAACTTAATAATACGTAGCCTTAATCATACACAGCATTTGCATTTGACTATAGCCTGTGTTTACGTCTTATTTCCCTGGATTTTCTATATCTTTTATAGGATCTACAGCATTAAGATATTCCTAAAATAGGACAAATGCACAATTATCTATATGCTACAGGCATTTACTCAATTGTATTTGCAAACATACAGAAAGTGGCATTTACTTAGTACCAACTCTCTTTATATTTAGTTCTTACTAGAAATTTCAGTCTGATATTAATATTTTTAAATAAATTTTATTATAGCAATAATAGATTTTAAAGAATTAACAGAATTATATTAATTAATGAACATTGTTTATAGAATTAATTAATTTCAGAATTAATCACAGAAAAAAACACATTTTAGAATTACCCAATTATATCAATAATCAGGTTGGAACCCTGAGTTCCCTATTCTCTTCCACCTTAACTCACTCTGGCTGATGGAAGATCTCATGTGCTAGACCAATGATGTTAATCCTGTCTTAGTAAATATTTTTCTCTGTGACACTGAAATATCACATTAATTGCTTTTCCTCTGACGTGTGCACATGGGTTTTGGCCCTTTCTTGGTAAGCGACATAGGGCCTACTATCTTTATCTCCACAACAAAGTCAGCTATCAGCACCTGTTCTATCTCAGGAATGCAAAAATACTCAGAGATAACAAACTAGTCAAGAAATGTTTTAGGAAGGAATTAGGCAACATGTAAGAGGGAGAAAAACATAATTTCCCAATCTTGTAACTAAGTCCACCATTAGTTATGTCCACTTTAAACCACTTTATTCTATTTTGTAAGGAGAAAATGTGCACACAATAATGAACTTCCATGTATCGCATTTAGTAACATTCACACTCTTCCCTATTATGCTAGCTTTCACTTATTGTTTCTTAAGTGCTACACAGTGTGCTAAGCATTTTACATACAGCATCTCATTTTAATTAATATTCATATCAACACTAAGAAGTAGGTGCTAGTATTCTCAGTTTTATAGATGAGGCTACTAAAGTTTAACAAGATTAAATATATTTTTCTGGATTACACAGCTGCTCCTAATGAATAGAAGAACTAGGATTTGAACCCAGGCCTGACTCCAAATACTTATTCACTATAGGGCTTTCCTCTGAGTTCTTAAACACAAGCAAATTGGAAGGGAGACAACACCCTGTAAATCAGATGACCCAGGAAAATTTACAAATGCTTACTAAGGTAATGTTTTTTTCACTTTACACTACAGAGGAGGAGAATCCATGTCTTTCTCTCTAAGACACTCTGCAAAACTCACACAGCAATTGAAATTAGGTTACTAAGCAACAATACCTTTTCTAAAATCATTAGCCTGCTGCAGAACTTGTAAAATGATGAATCATTTAAAAATCTTCTTGAGAAGGAACCTGGTCAACTATTAAGGATACAAGTTATAAAAACAGGATACAAATCTGAACAGGGACCATGACAGACTTATTGTGTAAAAAGCCCCGCAGCTGAACAATAGTAAACAATCCGAGTTAGCCAAATCCTGTCCATTGTGCTTACACAAGTAGCAAACAGGTAACATAAAGGCAGCTGGCATTCTGTGGGCTTCTTAATAATTGATAGCATGGCTGCAAGTTTGGGACATGTAGATAATAAACTTTCTGAAAGAAGCAAAGAATGCCTTTGCTTCAGCCTAGCGTATATCCTTCAAAGAAAGTTCTCCTCAAGAAAAAGGTACAAATAGACTGAAGATTCACATCACATTTTTTTTAATCAATGTAATTTGGGGCACAGATTCTTCTCTTTAATAAGCAAATTATCTTAACACAGTTCATAAAATACACTTATTTTTCCTTTTGTAGTAATTAGTTAGCAATACTTTGCATGGAATTTACTGACTAGAGTGTGAAGAAAAAGAAAGACCAAATGTTATTCCAAAACCCCCTCTTTCATCTGTAGTTATCTCCCCTCTATTCCCCACCACACCCTGCCCCATATATTGGGCAAAAACTAGAGCATACTGTCAGATGAATAATATCCCAGGAATCAGAAAATGTTTATAAAGACATTGGAACATTTATGCTGAACTAACAAGTATTTCTAGAGCATTTGAACAAGTAAAAAGAAAAGGATAAAGAAAAAAGCAATTAAATACCTACCCTAGTTCCCATCTTAGTTGGTTCTAGCCAATCTTGACCTTGCATTTTCCCTAGAACTTTCACTCCTGCCCTTGCCTCCTTTCACATTTATCTTTTTATATTATGATTCAACATTGGTCACAATACTTCCCATCCCTCCCACCAACAAAAACTCCTTTTCTGCATAAATTAGGTTTGGGCAGCTTTCCTATGTTTCTCAAGTATCCAAATCCTGTCTGTTCCTGGTTTCACTTTAACTATACACTTTTTCAAGGACCTACATAGTGCATAGGGTAAGGTGTTACAATAATTTTATTTATATCATTTCTATATTTTGAATTATAGAATTATAAGGAAAAATTATAGTACATAGTAAAAAGGAAACACATAATTACAGAAAACTCTCCTTTTTACAGTGTGGCCTGGCAAAGGGCCTGCTGCACGTGGGGCTTCCAGGACATTAGCATGGAACTGTCCTGGTTCTTTCTTTTGGACATAAATGACAATACCCAAAGCATCCAAAACTAAAGGAAAAAGAAAACATCTGTTCTAGTTTTATGTGAATTTTACAATGCAAGAGACCAATCAAATCAACTGGTTCATTCTCTGTCAATGCCAGATTATTTCCTCTGCATATTTTGTTTACTTGGGTAAGTCTAGTTATAAATAGCCCAACTCATGAAATGTTCAATTATTTCTCACGAGATTATTATT